CACCTGCGACGCTGGGACCTCCAGGTGGGCCGTTCTTAGCCGTGGACAAGCACGAATGCATGGAGAAGCCAAGACCCACCAGAGCCACACAGCGTGAGTATGGTTCTCTTTGCCGTGGTTTGAGCTGTAGCCACAAAATGACACATCGAAATCCTAACCCCTACCTGAAGACGCGCTCTTATTTGGAAACAAGGTTCAGTCTCTATGAGGTCACCCTGGATGAGGGCCCCTACATCCTTGTGTCCTTGAATAAGAGGGGAGGGCACACGGGGGGCGATGCCCATGAAGACGGAGGCAGAGACCCGGGCGACGTACCCGCCAGCCGAGGGCGCCCAGAGGCTGGGGAGGGGCGTGGACCAGGTCCCAGCCGGTGCACTCGGGGGCGCAGGTGCCTGTCCACACTTGGGTTTCAGGCTTCCGGCCTCGGGGACCAGGAGAGAACATCCGGCTTGTGGTCATTTGTTACAGCGGTCCTAGTGATACGGGGGAAGCAGGTGGCACTCGGGTAGGAATACGTGAGCTGGAAGATTTTCCCCTAACTTCCGTGCAGCCCTGCACTGTCACTCCACCCACCTACCTGTCAATCCAGCACACCCAGCATCCCATGATGCACCCGGGGCCTTGTCTGGGACCAGGAAGGAGGAGCCGATGCCACAGAACTCCCACAAAGCCTCATGCCCAGACTCCACCCTATTTGCATACTCAATTAAGGGACCACCCCCTACCCCACAAAGGCTGTGGGCGTGGCCCTTCTGGCTTCCCAGGCTGTTGGTCCCTCCCCGCCCCCTCCCAGGCTCTGTCCTGGTGGGCAGCTCTCTGGCCCACTCAGGACGGTGCCTGTCCGTGTGGGGTGGCTGCACTCACGCGTGCGTGTGTATTCACTCTCTCACTTCAAATAAACGCTGCCCCCGCCTCTGCACCTCACGGGTGCTCTGCTTTCTTAACCGTACGGGGAAAAGAACTTGGAATAAACCCTGAGACACTCGTTGCCATTCCCAACACTGGGACGCTCATAACCCTTTTCATGCAGTTAGTAGGCAGAAACTAAAGGAAAACACCCTTTCTAGGACGGAGGCGTGGTGAGGAGGTACAAAAAGTGAGCCGGGGCTCAGGGCCACAGGGACCCCAGGCGGGGACGGAACAGTGAGATGGAGACCTCGAGGTTGGATGAGGGTCTTTCTCAGGTACCTGGTGCCTACTGCGTGACCAACGGAACTGCAGCAGGGGCCAGCGTGGTGCATAGCAGGTTAGGTGCTGCCTGCCACACCAGCATCCCATAGGAGTGCCGGTTCGAGTCCCAGCTGCCCCGCTTCCAATCCAGCTCCCTGCTAATGGCCTGGGAAAGCAGCAGAAGATGCCCCAAGTGCTTGGGCCCCTGCACCCACGTGGGAGACCCAGATGAAGCTCCTGGCTCCTGGCTTTGGCCTGGCCCAGCCCCGGCCATTGTGGCCATTTGCAGAGTGAGACACCACATGGAAGCTCTTTCTGTCTCTCCCTCTCTTTCAAATAAATCTTAACATACAATTAAATAAATAAAAAGGCTCCCTGCCCAGCGCCAGCTCATCGCCTGCCCCTTGCACACCTGTGAACTTCCCTGGCTCCAGGCTGAGGCTACATTCCTGGCAGCCGGCACCCATCTCGGAGGCCCTCCCCGCCCCACGCCGGCCGGCTGCACCCAGCACTCACACCTCGCACACACCATTCGCCAGTCCCTCCTCTCACTGACACCACGAGCCCCAGGAACGAAGCCCAGAGCCGACCCAGCCCCCACTCAACCGCAGCAATGCAGACAGACTTCCACAGGGGCCCCTGGGAGGGCTCTGTCGCAGACCCCCCGTGGGATGGGCCTGGGTCCCCTGCATCTGCCACTGTTCCCACCCCAGCTCTGTGATGACAAGTTGTATACTGTAACGCACTTGCCTCTTAAGAAGCAGATTTTAAAAGGAAGAGGCACCTTGTCACTGTCCCGAATGGAAAGGCAACACCTGGGGCGGTGCTGTGGCAGAGCAGGTTAAAGCCCTGGCCTGAAATGCCAGCATCCTATATGGGCGCCGGTTTGAGTCCCTGCTGCTCCACTTCCCATCCGGCTCTCTGCTGTGGCCTGAGAAAGCAGTGGAAGATGGCCCAAGGCCTTGGGTCCCTGCACCTGCGTGGGAGACCCGGAAGAAACTCCTGGCTCCTGGCTTTGGATCGGTGCAGCTCCGGCTGTTGCGGCCATTTGGGGAGTGAACCAGTGGATGGAAGACCTCTCTCTCTCTCTCTCTCTCTCTCTGTAACTCTTTCAAATAAATAAATAAATCTTTAAAAAAAAAAAAAAAAAGGCAACACTTGCCATGAACAGGAGAAAACCGACGCACAAGCGCGCCAAACACAACGCCGGGACACTCTGGCTCCACAGCGCAGTCCTGGAGCCAGGAGGGCTGAGCCAGCCTGGGGAGCCATGACAGCCACGGTAGCTGGGAGCGAGGTGGGAGGGGCTACCCCCTGGAAAGAGCAGGGCGGGGCCTCCCAGCGGCCCCTGCTCAGCGGCCCCTGCTCGGCCCCTGCTCAGCGCATGCTCCTCGCCCTTCAGGGGGTTCCTCTCTGGCCCCAGGGTTCCTTTTGCTTTTAGGCCTGGAAATCCCTGGAGCAGACGCCTGGGGGCTCTGGCTGGGCTGCAGGGGGCTCCCCTAAGGCTGCCTGCGTCCGCTTCACCCTCCTCCCCCGACAAGCCCCTCCAGCACTGGGGGGGGGAGTGGGCACAGGGCCAGGCTGGCACAGGGCAGGGCCGACTGGGGCTCCGGCAGGCCCGAGGGAGCAGGGGTGAGCTCATCCCCCGCCCTTAATTATCGTCTTGGCTAATGAGCAGCTGGGAACCTGCAGCCCGGCCCACAGGGAGGACCCTGGGGACCCTGGGCCAGATGTCACCCGGAGGCACCGGGAGGAAACTGCTCTGGGGGAAGGGACTTACACTTCCTGCCTCCTCCCAGCCAAGGATGACAGCGGGGCCGGGGCCGGGGCAGGCAGGACACTGGAGGGGCTCCAACCCCGGGCTGGGCACTGCTGTTCTGTGGCCTTCAGCAAACGACTCAGGCCCTCGCTGTGTTAGGTGTGGGGAACACTGCCCCGCCCTGGCCCCGCCTGGGGTGCTTGTGAGACTTGCAGACCACAGCCAGGGCCTGCTCTACGGCACCCTCCCCGGGTGCACACGCACCCTGGGGTGCCTCGGCTCCTCTTCCGTAGAATGGGTGTGAAATGTCTGTCCAGTTCCCAGCAAATGCCACCGGTACAATTCACAGTAACTTAGCATTACTGGAACATTCTAGACAAGAGGGGCTCAGAGGGCTGCTGCAGGTCCCCCATCCTCAGCCCACCCCCGAGGTGGGTTTCATGAGACCCACCCTGAAGACGAGGCACCCAAGGCTCTGGGGGTGCAGCAACGTGCCAGGGAAGTTCAAGTTCATGGCCCGACCTGTTCAACCCTAGCACTGACGGCACCAGCGAGTGGCCAGGAGGCCGTCCTCTGTGCCAAGCACTGGATGTGCTCACACCAGAGAAAACAGCACAGAGAGGTCAGGCTGCTTTTCCAAAGCCACACAGCATAAACGGCTGGACTCGAACCCTGGCAGTCCGCCAACTTCCATTACCACTTTCCCCCGAGAATCTGTTCCCCCAAGTGTCCCTGCCCGCCCTGGCATCGCGACGCCAGCTCTGGCTCTGGGGTTCCAAGCCTGCCCTGCCCAGCTCTTACCACTAATGATGCTCTGCTGGCTGGAGGCTGGGACCGCAAAGGCCGCTGGAACTGGCTTTGTGGGAAGAACCTGTTTCCTGCCACTCTGGACTCCCAGGTGTGACGGACAGCCAGAGCGCGGGGCAGCCAGCCTGCGTGCCTGGCGCTCCTCTGCAGAAAAGACAGAGAATGGAGCAGACCCAACCCAGGGAAAAGCTCATCACCACCCCCAACTCCCAAGGCCCTCCCTTGCTCTGCCCCCCAAATGTTTAATTTCACAAGGGGCAGGAGAGATGGGGAGGTGGGGCGGGGGGGGGTTAGGAAAGCCCCTGCCAAGGAAGGGCCATTCAAGCTGCGATCAATGAAGTGGAGAAGTGGCACGGGCAGGAGCAAGTGGCATGGCAAAGGCACTGGGGCAGGAACAGCCTGGTGCTCTGACGGCGCGGGAGGAGAGCCCAGGCCGTGCAGGAGGGAGCCAGGGATGCCCGACGCCCTGGCCTGCAAGCTTCTGCCAGAGACAGGCAAAGAAGCTACCGGCGGACAAGCCGTCCAGCTCCCAGGAGCCCCAGGTCCACCAGCCCCTCTGGGCTCACCGGCCTTGCAGCACCCACCCCTCGAACGTTCGGCCTCACTGGCCACGGCGAGCGTCCACTTGCAGCGACCAGCTGCTATGCCCACACTAACTGGGGCCTCTCCCAGCCGGGGGCGCAGGCCTGGAACCAAACCCTGGGATCCCTCCGCACCTCGCAGCGGTAAGGTGGGCTAGCTCCGTGGGGGTCTGTCTTGAGCTAAGCGTACTCACTGGTAGGACAGGGCTGGGCATCTGGTGGGCAGGGCGCCTGCTATTACGGTCAAAATAAGCAGGATGACACACTGTCAAGGGGGTGGAACTCTCTGGCTCCCGCTGCGCTGAGGCCTCAGGGGCAGCAGGCATGTGGCCGAGGTTCGATAAACCTTACGAATGAGTAAACGACCAGCTGGCTCCAGTCCCAAGCTCTTACCTGCCGGGCGCCTCAGTTTCCCCGTCGGTAAGCGCGCGGGAAGAGGACAGCCCGTGGGGCTGGGGTGAGGCTGGCGGAGGCACGGCGCTGACGGCGCGGCCCCAACCCACCAGCGCCCCCCGCCCCGCCCGCAGTCCCGCCAGCTGCGCGGAGCCCCCGCCCACGCCGGCCGCCCCGGCCCCGGCCCCGAGCGCACGTGACTCCGCCCCGGCCCGGCCCGCCCCGCCGTCCCAGCGCAGGCGCCTATTGGCCACGCCGGAGGTCCCCGCCCCCGTCCGGGGCGGAGCCTGAGGCGCCCCGCCCGCCGCAGAGCGGGGTTCCTGCGTCCCGACGGTGCGCGGCGGCCGGACCGGGCTGGCGGGCTGGCGGGCGGAGCCGGGCCCGCGGGGCTGCTGCGGGGCGACCGGGCCGGGGCTGCGGGCTGCGCCATGGTGAGCGGGGCCGGGCGGGCTGGGCGGTGCGCCAGGCGGGGGCTTGAGGGAGGGGAAGGGGCGGCCCCGGACGGGGTGGGGGCGCGCGCGCGCGCGGGCGCGCGGGGCGGCGGTGCCCCGGGCCTGGGTGGGAGGTGGTCTTCGCGGCGAGGGAGGGGCGGCCCGGGCCGGGGCGCGGCTGGCGGGAGGGAGGGTCTGTCTGTTCCGGGGGCCGCGCCCGCGGCGGGGGCTCTTTGTCCGCTGCGCTGCGGAGAGGTCGGGACAAAGGAGGCGGCGGGGGGCGGAGGCCGCCTCGCGGGGAGCGGTGCTCCAGCCCCCTGTGCACGCCCCCCGCCCAGGCCCGGGCCGGCCTCCGGGGCTCCCTGGGACACTTCGAGGATTTTCAAAATTGCTTCCAAGGCTTGGGTCCTGGCAGCCCCCAGCGCGGTCAGGCGGATTGCGGCGACGGAATCAGGCGGGAGTCAGGGGTCCGGGCGACGTCCGGCGCCTGGCGCGCGGGTGGGGAAACTGAGGCGGGCGCGGCTCCGTCGGCGGTGACGGCGTGGCGTGGGCAGGACTGGGTCTCGTGGCCGCCGACCCCCGCCCCAAGGGGGCCGGCTCCAGCCGCCTCCAGCTGTCGCCCCCTCCCCAGCTGTCGCCCCCCCCCCCCGGCCGAGCCCCTGCGTCCCTGGCACCGGGCTTGCTGCTCCGTGCGGCGCGGGGACGCCGGCGGCCCCGCCAGGGTTAATGAGAGGGTGCGTGGAGCGCCTGGCACCCAGCCTGCTCGCCGCCCGCGCTCGCTGGCGTATGGGTGCTTGTCATCCTGAGTCCCGAGGGCGACCGCCCTGGGGTCAGCTGGTCCCAGGCCCCTCGGGCACCGGGGAGAGGAGCTGGGGGTGGGTGGGTGAAGACTGTGACAGTTTAGGGTCACGATTGGGAGCTGGAGTTCCGGCTGCAGGCCACCTGGGTGATTGGGTCTGTGCGCACCTACTTTTGAGCTGTGTGACCTTGGGTAGCTGACTTGACTTCTCTGAGCCTTAGCGCCTCCGTCTGCCACCCGCGGGGTGGTTTGGACGTGGGAAGGAGACATCTGCCCAAGGCATTAGTGCTGGCACACGGCGACTGCGCCAACTTTTCTCCAGCTTCCCCTGTTATTCCCAGAGTTGTTCAGCTTCTCAGGCGGCAGGTGATTCACAGGGCCGGGGCACGGGACTGGGGCCCGGGCCACAGGAGCCCCTGGCTGACCTTGGGACAGCCCCTGAGGTCTGCGGGCTCCAGCTTCCTCTTCTGCTGCGGGAAACCTGGGGCTTCCTCCGGGAGGGGCAGGGGTGAACCAGCACTGGACCGAGAGCCACGGGGCTGCCCTGGGCTCCCCCTGCTCCTGGTCCTGGCTCGTGGACGGCCGCAGCTGCGCGTGATGCGTCCTTGTGCCCAGTGCCACAGAGCCGGTGCGGCACAGGGCAGATCTTCCACCTGCGTCCTGGCGGTGACCCGCGGAGCCCTGGGCTCCCCGCAGCCCTGTTTTCCCAAGGGACCTGGGCAGGAGCCGCTCTGGTTTGTGAACGGGGACCCCTGGGGAGGCAGAGCCTGGTGGTTTGGCGGCCTTGGCAGGTGGCTTGTTAGGGCATGAGGGGCATGGTTCCTGGGGACAGTTCTGGAGGTGCGTGGTCCCCAGAGAGCCAGCAAGCCTCCTGGCTGCCTTGGTGAGCCCCGGGAGCTGCAGGCTGGCGCCCCGCTGAGCCCAGCAACCTGGTGATGTGCCCCAGTCAGCGACGACGAGGAGGAGGAGAGGAGGAGGCAGCGAGTCCCTGGGGAAGGGGCTGTTTGTGGCACCGGGCCTGGGCCCGCGCTCTGTGTCTTTCTGGTCCTGAGCACCCACTGCCCTCCTGTGGCACCCCACAGAGGCGTGGCTGGCGACATGCGACCTTAGAGGCCCCGGGCCCTTCTGCTCACTCACCCACCCCATAAGGTGGCCGGTGAGGCCGGGGGCTCCACACTGAGAAACTGAGGCCAGCCCGGAGCAGCTTGGTGGGGTCCCCACGTCACCCGGAGCGCGGGCAGGGCTCAGGAGGGAGAGGACTCGGGCCACCCAGCTGCTGGCTGAGCCCATTCGGCCTCCAACATGTGCGGTGGGTGAAGACTTAGTTGCAAGATCCCAAGTCAAGGCAGAGGGAGCGGCCCCCGGCCCAGGTGGGGCAGGCCTGCAGGAAGGCAGGGGCCCGCTGGTGGGCAGTGCTGGGCTCGGGGTCACACGCAGCTCCCCTGGCTGCTCTGGGCTCTCATTGGCCTCCCCGGGCCTGGGAGACACGGGCAGGGAGCAGAGGGCTGCGGCCTGGGTGGCGGTCCAGCGGCTTAGGGCCGGGCCGGCCGGTGCTCACTGGGGCTGCTCTGTCTCGCTGCTGTCACCCCAGGGGACACGGCCTGCGCTGTGCTCCAGCCAGTCTCTGGTGGTGTCCGGGGTGCTGCTGGGACCCAGGGGTCGGGCGTGTGGAGTCGGAGGGGACAGGTAGTATGGAGGTTATCCAGGTTTCCGGGGAACTGGTGGCCTTGGCTTTGAACGCCAGGCTTTGTCCTACAGAGGGAGCCTGTGAGCGGGTGCCGCAGAGCAGGTGTCCCTAGCTGGGGTCCGCCCGGCCCCCGGCCTTCGAAGGCCGCTCCGCTGGGTGGGGCCCTGCTTCTGGGTTCCCGTCTCCTGCTCTTTGTGCCTCAGTTTCCCCTTCGAAGTGGAGCGGCTGGGGCAGCAGGGCTCCCCTAGGGCTGCTGGGTGGCTGCGTGCTTGTGGGTGAAGTGGCTGTGACAGCTCAGAGGTGGCCCACGTGGCCCATGGGCCGTGCTGGGGGCTTCGAGGGGGTCCCAGGAAAGGTCCAGCCGGACAAAGGGGCTGCCCTCAGCCGCCTTCGGGCTCTGCTGCTCTGCCCTGCCCCCGGCGTCCGTGCACACAGCCGAGGCCTCCCACAGTCCACTGGCACCCGAACTTGGCCCGCTGCCCGGCCTCCTGCTGGCCCCTGGCTTTCTGGAGTCTGCAAAGTGGGCGTGGGGACCCCCGATTGGGATCCCTGTGTGAGGAGGGTGTTCTCTGCTTCAACGCTGCACCCCGACTTGCAAACCTACTGTGTGCCGGCCAGGGCGGGGGGATGGTGCCCACCTCCTGCGGACTCGGCGTCCACTGCAGGAGGGAGATGGCAGCTGGGGAAAGGCACCGTGTGTGTGTGTGTGCTGGGAGGGAACTGCAGGGAGTAAAGTCGGGAGGGCAGCCTGTAAGAGGCGCCTTCTGACACAGGTGTGAAGAATGGGAAAGAGCCTGGGAGGAGCCCTGCAGGCAGGGGCGCAGCGCAGGGGCCCAAGGCGGAGCCGGCGTGGCAGGACCGGGCGTGCAGTAGCCAGAGAGGCGCTTGGTCTTGTCCCGAGGCCGGGGAGGGACAGGAGCAGAAGTTTGTAAAGATCAGTTCTCAGGGGGTAGTTGCAGGGTGAAGGAAGGAACAAACGTGCCCACACACGGGCGGGCGGAGGGGGCGCCCCGGGCCGGGGCCTGGTGCCCCTGCCTGCCTGGGAGCTGCAGACAAGGTTGTGTGGCCATCACGGCTCCCACAGTCTCCGCGTGGCCCCGGGACCACAGGTTTCCCCCTGGATCTGTGGGTCCTGCCTGGGCTCCGCAGCTGGCTTCGGCCCCCGGCTGCCCCTCCCTCCAGTGCCATTGTTCGAATTTCCCACTTCCTGTCCCCGAAACGCCCCCAGCCCCCAACACGCACACTTCCCCTTCCGAATTGATACTGCCTTGTCTTCCTGTCCAGAGCCCCATGGGAGGGCAGGTGGGAGGGCAGGCGCCCCAGCAGGCCGCAGTGAGCTGAGGTCAAGGGGCAGGAACAGTGAGACAGTTCCCTGGAGGGGGAAGCCCTGTCCCGTGAGGCCGTGCCCTGAGGTGGGGGCGGGGGGTGAGCAGGAGCACCCCCACGCGCTGACCTGGGCAGGTGGCCGTGCGTGTTCCAGGAGCTGGAGCTGCAACCCAGGCCGAGCCCTGCACACTGTGCTGCCCATCCCCCTCCCCACCGCACATGGCTCTGGGCGTGGGCTCAGAGGCCCCCAGGGTTGTGAACTGCCTGGTCAGTGGAGGGGGACACGCGTGGGGCGCGGTGGGCCCGCCCAGGAGGACAGGGAGCCTGTTGAGTGGGACGTGCGGCTTGGTCCCTGCAGAGGGCAACGAAGCGGCAGACCGAGGGTCCGGGCCCCTCCTGCCAGGGCCTCCCTGCCGAGGTGGGCAGCACCACCTGGCCCCCGGACAGGCGAGCCCGGCCTCAGAACCCCGGTCGAGTGAGGGTTGTTTCTAAGGCAGGCTGGCCTTGATCAAGGACGCAGCAGGTTCGGTCCCGCCACCGAGGGAGAGCCTTGGTCCACTGCCTGCCTGCGCCGACATCAGTGTTAATCGGAGGGAGAAAGCAGTGACCTCATCGCGCGCCTCCTGAGTGTGGCCTGCCGGGCCTGACCCTTTTATTTATTTATTTTAAGATTTATTTATTATTTGATAGAGTTGGGGAGAGGGTGAGACACGGAGTGAGAAAGAGATCTTGCATCTCTCGTTCACTCCCCATATGGTCACAACGACTAGGTCTGGGCCAGAGTGAAGCCGAGGGCCAGGAACTTCATCCGGGTCTCCCACATGGGTGCAGGGGCCCAAGCACTTGGGCCATCTGCTTCTGTTTTTTCCAGGCCATTAGCAGGGAGGTGGAGCAGCCGGGACTCGAACCGGTGCCCATATGGGATGCTGGCACTGCAGGCAGCAGCTTTACCCGCTACGCCACAGCGCGCCCCCGCCTTCTTGATAAGTAACTGGGTGTGCGAGGGGAGGAGGTGCAGGGACACCCAGGGGGCTGCCAGCTCCAGCAGCCGTGGGTGGCACCAGCGGCAAAGCCTTAGCCTCAGTGGGTGTCGCTGGCCACTGACGTGGGGTGTCGCCCACAGTGAGCCCTGGAGGACTGCTGGGGAGGCTGGTGTCGGGGCTCCTTGCTCCTCACGGGTGGCCCACAGCCTTGCTCCTGTCCCCATCAGCCCTGGGCACCGAAGCGGGTCTGGAGGTGGCAAGGTGGAGGGTGCTGTCTGGGGTGTGTGGCTGCAGGAGGCGGCCCCGTCCTGACTTCCTGGCAGGGGCTTGGCCCTGGGGGGCTCCCTTCCCGTCCGCACCTGAATCGGCCGATGCCGCAGCTCCTCGTGCTTGCTGCGCCCACCAGCAACGCTCCTCCCCCTGGCCCTCTCCTGCCCCACCCAGTTGGCAGCGCCCTGATGTCCCGCCCTGCCTTTGTGGTGGCCGCTGTGTTGCTGGACTGATGTTTACATTGTGGCTCCCGCCCTAGACACAGCTCTGAGCTGGCAGGGGCAGGAGCGGTGGATCTCCCTTTCCGCCTTCGCATTGCTGTGGCGGCCGTGGCCGTGGCCGTGGCCGCAGCCGCAGTCTGACTCGAGGCCACTTCGCGTCCCCGCCTGGGCTCCATTGTATTCCCAGCTCTCGGGCATCGCTGTCCTGTCCATAGCCTGCTTCCCGCAGGGGCTGATGTCACGTCCTTGCTTTCAAGTCCCTCCTCTCTGACCACCAGGAAGCCACTGGCTCTTCTCAGTCCCTGAGTGGCCCCTGAACACCTCTCAGGTCAGGGCCAGGCTTCTAGAACCTACACCTGCAGCCCGCGGGCCACGGGCCCTGCCAAGGCAACTGCAGGTGAGACTCAGAATTCGGTAAACCTGTAGCAGGCTCATTTTTAAGTCGACGGTTTCGCGTGGCCCGGTGACTGATGCGGTAAATATCCAAATGGCCCTTGGCAGAAAAGCAGCTCCCCACCCGTGCCTTAGACCAGAGCCGGAACAGCGCCCCAGGCTCCTGCAGCGCCTGGGCCCGTGGCTGCGAGGGTGACTAGCACGCCTGGCAGCAGAAGTGCTTAGGTAGTAAATGCAAACAAGACCGTGGCGCTCACCAGCGGACAGAGAAACAGCAGAGCCTGTTCGCGTCGCGCCCGCGAGGGTGGCACTGTGGGCTTTGAGAGCTGTCACAGACGGACCCCTGTGGCGTGCCAGCCCAAGTCTGTGACACACACACACACACACCCCAGCCCTCCGCGGAATCCCTGGGGTAGCCTCATGTTGCTTTATCTTCCAGGACTCTCGTGTCCAGCCTGAGACCCAGCCTCGCTGAGCCGGCCGTCCCCAAGAGCTTCCTGCCAGGGAAGCCCCCAAGCACTGACCATGTCTATAATGGACCACAGCCCCACCACGGGCGTGGTCACTGTCATCGTCATCCTCATCGCCATCGCCGCCCTGGGGGCCCTGATCCTGGGCTGCTGGTGCTACCTGCGTCTGCAGCGCATCAGCCAGTCCGAGGATGAGGAGAGCATCGTGGGGGATGGCGAGACCAAGGAGCCCTTCCTGCTGGTGCAGTACTCTGCGAAGGGACAGTGCGTGGAGAGAAAGGCCAAGCTGATGACCCCCAACGGCCCGGAAGTGCACGGCTGACCGACGATGAGAGGCTCCTGGTCCAGTTTGCAGCCCGGCAAGAGGCGCCGGAAGGGGCGGAACCACATGGACGTGCTGCCGGCTGAGCGCAAGGGTTGACACCTGCTGGCATGGCCTCCGCGGGCTTGGTCATCGCATGCACTGACTCCCGGGGCCCAGCCGTCCTGGGCTCCCTGTCAGCCTCCAGGCGGGGCTGCCCATTGCAGGCAGTGGGCAGGCCTGACCTTGCTGGGGCTCACGGCCCCGTAGCGCTTTTGTTACTTGAATGTTGAGCTGAGCCTGTTTCTGACGGAGCTACTACTGTAACGCGTGAACTAACCAACCTGTGAACTGTACATAGTCCCTCCTCCCCCCCACAAGCTTAAGCCTCGCTGCTGCTTTTCAAAATTCCACATGGAGCACGCGGGACGGGTTTGACGAGGACTGCGGCAGTGACGAGTCAGGCCCGCCCAGGCCTGGGTGCGCTTGGTGGGGAGGTGGGGAGGGGGCCCTGAGGTGTACCCCGCGCGTGTGTGTACGGGACGTGACCAGCTGGGCAGCTCTGGCGACCCCTGCTTGGTTAGGAAGGGATGATGGGACCGCACACGCCCCCTCCCCTGTTGTTACGGAGCAGTTCCTGTTATGGTGGCGTTACCGCAAGGAAGCTACGCAGCCGCCTGGGAGCCGGTGACGGACAGGGAGTCCCGAGGGCTCTAGGCACCCTAGTAGCAGAGCGGTCTCTGCCCCCACGGTCTTGAGCGTGCTGTGTGCCGCTTAGCGCCGGCTTCGCTGCAGTCACCCCGGCCCTCGTACAGCCCCAGGGCCCCGGGCCACTGCTCCAAGTCTGAAACCCAAGCGGCCCGCAGAGAGGGAAGTTTTGTTTTCTGCTTTTGTATTGAGTATTTTCTGCACTGGAGGGGCGGGGAGGGTCTGTGAACTTCTCTCCTCTTCCCTTCGCAAGTCCGCTCCCTGCCCAGGGGTTCACTGTAGACTTCACTTCCCCAGGGGTTCTCTGTAGAAGGCTGACGCTCTCCCACCCCCCAGTCTGGCGCTGAAGGCACCGAGTGTCCACGGCAGCTCATCTCTCGTGTGCACATTCTTAGGAGCCACCAGACTGTTCCGGCCAGCCTGTGCCTGGTGCGTGGACGGTCCCCGCACGGGTTGGTGGCCCCTCGCGTGCACTTCGCTGAGCTCACCCTTTGACTCTGAGTCCCACCGCTGTAAGCACGTTCTCAGCCGTCGCCATGACCACACGATCGGCGTCCCCATCGAATAATAAGCCGGAGACCAGCCTGGCATGGCGGGCCCGGCCCCCCCGTGGCACGCTGGCCCTTGGCACTTGAGCCACCTGCAAGCAGTGTGGGCAGGAAGCCCAGCACTCCGGCCTCCGGGCTAGGTGGCCCCTTCTCAAGCCCTTACCCAGGCCTCTGCTAGGAGCCACGTCAGCCTAAATCTACTTTCTAGAACCCCGGGGGGGAGCTGCAGGAACTGCTCAGCGGCAGTGAACTTGAAGCAAGAGCCGGTGGCTGGTGAGGCTGTCAGAGCTGGGGGTAGTGAGGAGACGCCACAGGTGGGCTTCCTGGGAACCCTGGCGGGGAGGCCCTGCAGGCTGGGTGGGCAGATCACGTGGTGGTGGGGGGCCTAGGAGGGAGAATAGTTCCCAGGTTGCCAACTGGAAGATGGCTTTGCGATCAGAAAAGTGTTGGTTCGATCCGTCCCCCTTGGGTTTCACGACTTCGGGCTCGCTACCTCTGCTCACCGCAGCCGAGGCTGCTGCCGCGTGGGCTCGGGGACTGCACGTTCGGGGCCCCGAGCCTGACCCTGGAATTGACCACCGCCCAGTAAATCCGATTCTGGAATGATTAAAGGCCGCTTTGTCATCAGTCTCACTGTGGAGGTTTCTTAGCGCCCTCCCTGGTTGCCGGAACATCCTGGCACTTGCATGGGGCTCCCGGGAGCATGGTGGCGGCGCTGGGTGTGGATCAGGCGAGCCAGGGCCCTGGTGGGAGGGCCGTGGACCTGCTGTGGAAGCCGTGGGCCAGCTACTTTAACACACCAGAGCCACACTCGCGTCCCGACCTCTGAATTCTCGCACAGCCCAGCTGTTGCATTCGAGTTTTGACTTGTCAAGAAGTTAACCTGTCATGCTTCCTGTCTCCCTCACAGAGGCAGGGGTGGGGGTGGGGCGGGAGCCGACAGCCGCTGCACGGACTGGTCTTCAGACAGACCTCGCAGGGCACCACGTCACTGCTGTCTCAGCGTGACCGCATCTGTGGTCTGGGAGGGACGTCGCCCCTGTGGAACAAGCTAAACGGCATTCAGTCTGATTTTGCAGACCACTGAGAAAATCTTTATTTACAATAAATTTCAGTGAAATTTGCATAAATATATTCCCAATGTTCAGTTTTCACCTCTGATTTCTTCATGTCATTTAAAAAAGTTACTCTGTCCTGTTCTCGTTACTCCTCTCGGACGCCAGCGTGGAGCTGACGTTGGGAGGTGGCGGGGGGGCGCCTGCGGGCTGGGGAGGGTCAGGGCCTTCCTGTGGCAGGGCAGCCGCGTCCTCCGCCCCGTCCTGGCCCTCCAGCTTCCTCTCCATGGTGGCCACCAGGATCTTGAGCCACGCGTTCTCAGCCAGCAGCGTCTCCGAGGCGTCGGCCAGCTCCTGGAGCTGCCGGGCCAGCGCGGCCAGCTCGCGGCTCTTCTGCTCGTGCAGGGCCTGCAGCTGCTGGCTGTGCCGCCGGAGCAGGCGGTGCTGCTGCTCCAGGGCCTGCTGCTCCCGCTGCAGCCTGTGCTCGTCCCGGCGGGCGCGCGACAGCTGCATCTCCACCTGCACCTGCGCCCGCTGCAGGCTGCCGATTTCCGCCCTCAGTTTCTGGATCTCTCTCTGCAGCTGGGAGATGTGCCCCTGTTGCAGTGCTGCCTCGCTCTGGACACAGTCCTTGGTAGGAGGGCTGGCCACGTCCTGGCTGGAGGAAGCGGGGGCCGAGTGGTGCAAGATGAACCTCAGCAGATTTGGAAGGGTGATGGGGAGGTCTTCGGGGTATTTCACGCTGAGGTCCTTCCTGGGGAGACAGGGGGAGGAGTCAGAGGTCAGAGTCTGCCGACACACCCTGCCCCGACCTCAGCTCTCCCAGGAGTCGGGCCATCCGCTGATGACCACGAAAAGGAAGATGCTGCCTTGGCAGAGAACTGCCCCACCGAGCTGCGGACAAGGCCCTGCGCGTGTCCTGCGACCACGGTGGCTCCTACTTCCCTAAGGACGGAGCTGCTTCTGGACACAGCATTTCGGGAGAGAGGGGCTCCCAGGCCTACGGACACCAGCATTGTGTGAGCAGGACCCTCTATGCCCTGGGAGGCCCCATGGCCATGTCAGGAAGGGTGTCCTGGGGCAAGACTTGTCCACGACACTCATGACCATAGACAGTGCAGGGCGAAAAGAAAAAAAACCCGACACACTGCCCGTCGTTAGTAAGCATTTACTCACACTGTGGGGCCCTGGGCAGCGTGATCTGGCCGCAGCCCAACCAAGGCGCTCTGCGGAGTTAAGGCTGCTGCCCTGGGGACGCAGCAAGGTGGCGTCCGAGGGCCCCCCACCCCAGACTTGTTCCAAGTCCTTTTAGAACTGGTCGTTCAGTCGTCTGTCAGCCAGTGCGTCTCACAGATGTACGTATGGGTGCGGGCAGCATCTGGCCACTGGTGTGTGTTTCTGTGTGAGCTGGGCCAGTGTGCACGTGTGAGCCAGCCAGGACCACCGAGGCACAGGTCAGGAAGAACACCTCTGTGCCTCCTGCCACCTGCCACTGCCACCAGTGCTTCTCCGCAGGCCAGGAGTCCCGGCCCGTAAATGGGGACCTCCTGCTGAAGGGAGTGCTTTTCCAGAACTCCACTGTTCTTGGGAAGCCACTAGTTACCAGCTCAACTCCCTCTGCACACACAAAGCCAGAGGCCAGACACCCAAAACCCACCGAAGAGGTTCCAGTCCTGAGTAGCCCTTTTCCGACCAAATCACAAAGAAGTAAAAGTCAGGTTTTGGGGGCTGGCGTTGTGCGCAGCGGGTTAAGCCGGGGCTGGTGTGTGCGCAGCGGGTTAAGCCGGGGCTGGTGTGTGCGCAGCGGGTTAAGCCGCCACCCGCGACGCCAGCATCCCACATAAGAGCACCAGTTTGAATCCAGCACCCTACTCCTGCCTGGGGAGGCAGTGGATGATGGCCCAAGCGTGGGAGACCTGAATGGAGACGTGGACAGGACGAGAACAGTGCGGAGTGAGTCTCCAGTGGGCACGCTAGAAGGCACTCCACCGTTTCTAAGTTGCAAGAACACAGTCGCAACCAACTTTCCAGAAGAGGAGTCATTTTGAAAGTGTGGCGTTAAAAAGTCCCACTGCTGGGGGCTGGCACTTAGCCTAGCAATTAAGACACCGGTGAGGGTGCCTACATCCCACATCAAAGTGCGTGGGTTCAATTCCCAGTTCCGGCTCCTGACTCTGGCTTCCTGTTAATGTGCACCCTGGGAGGCAGCAGGGTAACTGGGTCCCTGCCACCCACGTGAGAGCCTGGGTCCCAGCTCAGCCTCAGAACAAAGGCCCCTCTGTCTCTGGAGCCTCCTGTGGCCGAGGGAGGGGCTGTCGCAGAGCCCGCTGGGCGACTGTGCTGCAGTGTCCCCCAGAGCCTGACGCTGGCCTCTGGCTGGGAGCAGCGGCTCCAGCGCCCCCGCCCCCCGCCGCGGTGGAGGACAGGCTCCTGCGGGCTCTTCGGGTGGAACCTGTGCCGTAAACAACCTGCAGGACGTCAAGAACCTCCAGGCCCCTGCGAGGCGCCCGCAGTCCCACGCCAGGGCCCTGACCTCCTCCCTTGCGCACATGCGTTCACCCGGTGCACGCACAAGTCTGTGCTTTATCTCAGTGCCTGTCTAACTTTATGGTCTCCGCACTAAAAATAGCGCACCCAGGCGAGCTGTGAGAAAGGTCTCGTCACATGTGATCAAGCGGCCGTTCCCGCTTCCTCTTTCGCGAGCTGTCAGCTCCCGCCGTTTGCCCGTTTAGATTTCCGAGTAAACCCAACGCTGACTGCGGGCCAGCTAAGGCCGTGCTCGCCTCACTTCTGATTATGACTGATTTTCAGGGATGAGAGAACCCCCATCCCCAGGCGGCGAGGCTCTGGTTCACTGAGTGCTGTCCGTTCACACGCACTGGACGTCTTCCATGCTCCGTGTTCCCCTTCCTGACCTTGCCCACTCATGGGCGCTGAGAGGCTGCAGGGCCGCCGGCAGCGCGTCTCCAGCGTCTGCGGGCTGGCTCCCCCTGCAGCGTCAGCGGGAGTCGCCCCACGTGCCACGCCGCACCCTGCTCTGCCTGGGTTCTCTCCATCTCAGTGCGCATGCATTGCCCACTTGCCAAGAGCCTCTATGCAGAGGCACGTGCTGGGTGCTGGAACGCGAACACTTCTTTGAGCAATGTTTGCAATTCAGAAACTACGTGTCATTAAACTGCCTGCCCGGCTGCTGTCCCACACAGAGGAAGCTACTGCGTTACCATCCATGCGTGCCTGTACGCAGCAGTTTAGACACTTCTGAGCAGGACAAAGGCTCACGGCGAGGCAGCCAGCGGCACGGGGTGAGTCACGCTGCTTCCAGTGTGCGCTCGGACAAGACCCCACCCCCACAGCCAGAACTCCAGCAAAGCTGCTCTGAGACAATGGGCAAAACCCGAGGAACTGGCCCAGCAGATCCAGGAAGCTCTCTGGGAGGATCAGGACACGTGGAGCAGCGGCGGGGAGGGCCAGTAAAAGGCAGCAGTGGCTTCAGGTCACCCCCGCCACATGTGCCAGTCACAGGGGGGCCTCCCGAGGGATCCTGCAGAGAGGGCCAGAGCCCAGGGGTCTCCAGGACTCATCCTAACTACCACAGGGGGTCTGTGCAAAGACAGCAGGCCTTAAAGGGCCAGGAGTTCCTCTCCTTTCCTGCCTCAACACTGGCATCCATCTCCACCAACTAGGAAGTCCACTGCCCCATTGCCAGCATCCAATCCATGTTTGTTGGGGCCACCGGGGAAGCTGGTGGAGTAAGGGGCCCTGGCATATCAATGTGAAAAGGTCAAGGTGACAGTGGACGTACCGAGGCCTCATTTTGCCCCTAGGATAGAGACGCGGGCTGCTGGGAGGGCCAGATGGTGAATGCTGTGTGGACGTAGGGCGGCTGGGCTCAGCAGTTAGCTCTCGCCTGGCCCGACACGAACATGGGCTCTCCCCTGTCAAACTCGGGTGCTCCCACAGGCCGTGAGAGCTAAGGGATTTTGATGGCCACACTCACAGTTGTGTACAAAACAAAGAAGAGAAGAGCCAACTTGTTAAAAAGGGAGCAGGTGCGTGGCGTTCTGACACTGCCCTCCTTCTGCCCGTGGTCTCCAACGGCACGTGCTCTGAACAAACCCTTCAGTCCCAGTGAACGGCCTACACCTTAAGCTCACTTTACTGTCAGCCTTCAACAACAGACTCCCACCTGCCCAATATTGAAAAAAAGTCAGCAGTACCTGTTGCAGGGGAAAAACAAGACAGTAGGAAGACGATCAACCATGAATTCCCAAGGAAGGTCATTCTGCGACACGTCGATCCTGGGGGAGACAGGCAGAGAGCAGAAAATGTCAGAGCGCGGCCCCGCAGGCTGCAACTTGACACAGCCACTCAAATGCTGCAGGCACTGGTGCACTCCCGCTCCCCGCAGCGGCCCAGCCCTCCTCCACGACGGCACTGCCTGCTGGCAGTCGGGTACTCGGCTTCCAGGAACCGCAGCTGTCCCGGAGCTAAGATCATACCCTGAACGTGAAAACAGCTTTCCCCAAAGGCCTCACTGACACCAAGGGAGCAGCTCACGCACGGCACTGGCCA